CCGATCCTCCGATGCGTGTATCTCTTCACTTTTCCATTTAGATCTTCACCTTGCCTCTGACATAAGCAGAGAAGAAAGGACAAAAAAATTAAGAGTATTATGTCATAGTGAAAGGCAAAAGAGACGGTGTTCAGAGCTGTTGTTAGGGAGTATCTTACAAGGCTTAATCCCCACATCTGATTCCCAAAGGCCAAGTGATTGATTGAGATCTGGTAAGTCATTAGTAACCAGCTAGTTGATGTTTTAGGCTATGTGGAAAGTGCTAACTTAGAACATTGTTCTTAGTTCCTTGATGGCTTTTCAGAGATTGTGGATTACTAGTCATTTTGTACATAATAGGTATAGCTAGTATGTAAAGGAAAGGTTTGGTTAGACATCTCCTTGACTATAGACATTTAAATCTCCACTTAGCCCAACTAGTACGCCATCAACCCTTTGTTTACAGAGCTCACTTGGACAATGAGGTCAACCAACCTTGGTTAATTCAGCTTTCCTTGTATTTCTTCCCAGCTCCCTGGGATAATTTTGTCCTGTGGAGTGTAACCAACATTTGCAGGGGCTGCCCTGCTGGAGAGGTTGGTTCTGGTTTCTCCTCCATCACATCCACATGGTATTGTTTGTGATGATCACTGTTCAGGTGTGGGGAATAGGCAGAGTAGGAGGCCAATGTTGGAAGGAAAGCAAGAAAATTTGGCAATCTGGGGATCTTTCCAGTTGTGGTAAGGGGCAGGGAATTAATACCCATTATTTTCAAGGGTCTCTAATGCTTCTGTATAGGCAATTTTGGCTGCTACAGAGTATTCTCTCTTCCTACATTTCCAGTCCTTCAACCCTGTGTCCAGGTTAAACCCTCTGGACTAGCTAGCCCAGCCTCTGGAAAGAATGAGACCAGGGAGGGAGACATTGGAACCAAATTGTTCCCTATTACCCAACTTGAGAATTTAGTTTGTCTTTTCTCCCTCCTATGTAGGCAACCTAGCCCTAGTTTGCAGAGGGTGACCAAGTAAGCTGTTCAAGCCTTTGCAGTAAAGATAAATTGTGTCTTTTGATTTGTCTTTAAGATGTTCTTTTTAGATCATGTTTATTCCACCTTCACTCTGAACCTTCCACACAAACCTCTGCATCACGTTTAGCCTTTTTCATGACTGAATTATTCTTGAAGTTATGTCTGTTATTTAGTGATTTGCCAGAAGGGCACCTGGGATTTCAAAAGGGGAAAAAAATACCCAATGACTCCATAAGAGGTTCCCATATTTTTCCCTTCTGTTACTTTTAGTGCTCTTAAAGTATAGAGAGTTGATACTGTGGAGCTGGGGAAGTATTTTCTCATGCTTGGTTTCTGTAGTTCTGGTGTCTTTTTTTTTCCTAGTTGGTGTTTACTCCTCCCTGGATCTCTCTGGACTTATGATGTGGGAGGGTTTTCCAAGGTGAGATGCCACTTTTATTGGCAGATTCTAAAGTGACAGTCCAAGATGGGCTTAGCTTTTGAAGGTGGACTTTGTCCTAGACATTGGGAGGACTTGGGATCTAGAGTTTAAAGGGGGGGGTTTCTGTTGACTTGTAGATGAGTAGGGACTTCCTTTTTTGTGGTTTGGTCACTAGTACAGGGCTTCTGTAAAACGTTTCCATTGCAGTGCTCCTAACCAGGGGAGGAGGAGTGTGTTCTTAGGGAAGGACCCAATGGTATAGCCAGAAAGGCAGTTTATCTGAAGTTTCATTTTACTTAATGGGAACTAATACAGCTTTTAAAAATCATGCTTTACATTCCTAGTTAAGTTACCTTTCCTCAAATCTTTGTTTAAAATGTCTCTACTAAGATGCTAGATTATTTATCCCTGTCTCTTGACACATTGCCCTGTACCCCAGGAGGTAGAATGTTAGCATGAGTATTTCAGTTTGAGGAGTACAAATTAAAATGAGGTGTACTACTCTGATTTTCTTAAAGTCGGAGTGGTAGTAGAGAGTTTTTTTCCAACAGGAAACTTCATGCAAGCTTGGGGGGAGAGTAATGTATTAGAGCTTTTATCTTGTGAAGAAGCTGAAGTTATGAACTGAAAGTGACATTTGGTTTTTATGTTCTACCTGGGCTATAGGAGACAGCCTACCCTGTCTGCCTTCCCATCCCTCCCTACCCCATTGTGCTTAGGCTTAAATTGTATAAATGGAAAATTCATCCTTGTACTAGCCCTTTAAATTATAAGTGTATAGTTTAGAAGTTCCAGGACTGGAGAAGCTGGGCTGAGTGAGCTGAGATCCTGAGCAGGAAGGTGTTCTTGGGGATCAACACGGACTACTTCTCCAGTGCTTATGTTGTGCTGCAGAGACGTAGGTTTGAGCCTAAAGGTGTCTTTATGAACAGAAAGAGCCAGAACACAAGTCTTTAGGGGCAGACTGAGTGGAGCTTGAGTGCTTTGATTCGAAAAGCTTATTACATTCCTGTTGGACTTTGGCACAGAAGTATTTTGAAGGTTCTATATGTTAGTGAGGTTTGGTTATATCCCCTTTTTCCCCCCAAAACAACTCAGTTCTACACATACTCTACACACTTGGAAAGGGCAGAAGAGCTCTTACAGAAACTTTATGTTATGAACTCTTACCTCTGAGGACTGACCTGAAGCTGGAAAAACAGACAAAACTTCCCTTGCAGTGCTATAGCTAGAAAGGCTGCAGACATGACCTCGTCCCAGGGATAGGGCCAGGCAGCTAGCTGAGCTAATCCTCCTGTCTGTTTCCTCCTCCCCCAGGTGTATCAGTCACCTCCAGTAACACGGGCGTGCCAGATATCTCGGGTTCTGTGTACTCCAAAACCCAGGTAGGTGCCTGGCTCTGGACAGCAGTGGAAAAGGGATGGACACAGGAGGCGGAAGCGAAATGGTAGAAATAGAGTGAACGAGAACAGCCCTAGGAGAGGTGTCAGGAAAGCCATCCTACCTTTTCTAAATGAACTATATCCTTTAGACTTCACTTTCTCCAAGAAGTTTAAATAGCCTTCTGAGAAAAAATGACAAGTGTATTAAGATGAGATGTGGCAAAAGTACTGTAACGTTTCATGTGCTTTGCTGTGCGGCTGTCCTGGCCCCTTTACCCAACCTTTTTCGTAACTTTGTAAGAGAGCATGTAAGGGTATGAAGAGAAACCAGTTTATTCCATTCTTTATGAGTAAATCCATAAGAGTGTGGGGAATGAGACAACCCAGTACCTGGGGTGTTTGAGTTATCCACAGGTTTGTGTTGTATTGCTTTGTACTCTCTCACTATAAATAACTAAAAGTTTGTTATAAAGTATTAGGACCATTAGGGGACTGTTTTATAGATAAGACATTCAACACTCAAGATACCTTGATATGTTTAAAAAAGGGGGGGGGGATAACTCAGTTTTGTATTCATTTCTTTTGAAATAGCCAAGGAATTCTAATTTCTACCCAACTACATGGGCAGAGATGTCTGAAATAATCAGCAAGTTTCACTTTGTTCATGTATGACTTCAGACTTGAGTAAGCTCTTTCACATCCATCCTCTCATTTATCCTTACAACAGAGAAGTCAGTAGCATCTCTGTTTTATGTGAGGAGACTGAGGCAAAGAGATTGAGTGATTTGTCCAGATTCGCACAGCTGTGAAAGGGCAGAATGGGGCTGCACCCTGAATGTCTGACTTCAGGCGCTCTGTTCCTGTTCAGTGACATGGTACATCTTCTGAGGGGAGGGAGCTTGGACTCAAAAGTCCCAGGATTAGTTTTCTGATCCCTTTTACTCTCTCTCCTCCTGGATAGCAGTCTTTTGAGAAACAAGGTTTTCATTCCGGTACTCCTGCTGCCTCCTTCAACTTGCCTTCAGCCCTAGGAAGTGGGGGGCCCATCAATCCGGCCACAGCTGCTGCCTACCCACCTGCCCCCTTTATGCACATTCTGACCCCCCATCAGCAGCCGCACTCCCAGATCCTCCACCATCACCTGCAGCAGGATGGCCAGGTAATAGCCCTCCCCCTCTCTCCTTCCCCTTCCTCTTCCTTCCTGTCCCTTACAACTGCCTCCCTTTCCTTTTCTTGCCCTTCCTCCCCACCACCTTCACCCAGTCCCTCCCCAGCGCCGGCCATGGGCACACAGCACATACAGACACAAGCGCACATAACACAGGCGGCCGGCAAAGGAAATGTCAGAGAAGCCAGTTGGAATCTTGTTTACCGAATTCCTTTGGTGCCTTTCTCCTTCTCCTCCTCCCATAGCATAGTTGTCCTCATCCTGTCAGACCTGGGTCATGCCTCCTTACCTCTCCCAACCTCCCCCGCCCCCAACATTATAGCTTCCCTTTCTGATGGTGGAGTTCTATTGTCAAAGTTTGTCCCTTTATTTTCCATATATCCTGGTTCTGCCTCAGCTACCATATTTGCAGATGGTTCTCTGTTGCCAGCGCCAGCAGGAGGAGCAGGTAATGAAAATGAATGATATGCTTGAACCCACTCCCTTTCAGACCCCATCTCACCTCCACAGCCTCAGGGAACTTGAAAGGTTGCGCGGTCACAAATCGGGATACACAAACACAAACACTTTGCTGAGCTCTCTGGCCTCCCCTTCCTCTCTCCTCCTCCCCTCCTCAGCACCCTCTGATCTTTCTCCCCTTCCCCAACTCTGGAAACACTTGGTTACTGGAATGGGAAAGATTTCTTGGGGCAGCATCTGGAGCTTATGCCCTCAGGCTGTCTCTCCTTCCTTGCCTGAAACAGACTCACAGATGTGGGGTGGGGAGGCTGGGCCTGGAGGTGTGGGTGGTGCAGTGGTGCAAGTGACCTCTCAAGAGCTCCCTCATGGGTAGGTGGGGCTAGATTGAGGGCCTCTGCTCTCAAAGACAGTTTTCCAAATTGAGGCATCAATGTAAAGTAAGTCACTTTGGGACACTTACCTCCAAAGGGCCATAATTGTCTCTAGATAGTATCAATTTTTCAGAGCAGAGGAAGGCAGTGGGGTAGTGAAGAAGGTAGAATTGGAAATGAATGGAACTCACTGTCCTGTCTCCAAAGGTTATCTTGCACAATTATCATCTTTCCTTTGTGTAAAGGTCCCAAATGCCTTGCTTTTAAGAGAGAGCTTTAGCAACCAAATTTTCTTGGTTGAGAAGTGAACTTCCTAGTACTGTTTCCAAATGAGGAAAGTGCTAGAGCAAGCTAATTTGCACATCTCCACCTGAAGATGTTACAAATTTGTCCCACTAACTAGACAACTTTTTCCTCCCCACCGTCCTCCCATTCCCCTGCAGACGGGCAGCGGGCAACGTAGCCAGACCAGCTCCATCCCGCAGAAGCCCCAGACCAACAAGTCTGCCTACAACAGCTACAGCTGGGGGGCCAACTGAGGCCCTGACCCTCTTCTCTCGGTCCCATCTTCTGAGAGGGCTTCTCAGCCTGGAAACTATGGAAACAGCATCAAAGAAAGGAATGTGGGGGGGTTCCGCTGCCCCCCACCCCCAGCGGCCCACCCCATGTCTCAGCTTCATGTCTGTCCCATTCCCATACCATCCCCACCCTGTTGTATGTATTATAGGATTTGTATTTTCTCCTTTTTTTCCCCCTTCCTTTCCTCTTCCTCCTCCTCCCCCCTTGCATTCAAGATTATGAAACTTTGCTGTGGGCCCTGCCCTTCCTTTGCTTCTTCCTGTTCACCCTGGTGGTGTACGGATGAGGTGGGGAGGGGGGACCCCAAAATATATATCAGCCCAACAGCCCTGAGTCTCCTCCTTTATTATTAGGAAAACGAAACAAAACAAAAAAATGGCGTCATGAATATGAACAGCATTGTCAGATGAATTAGTTGAAGTGTTTTTTTTTTTTTTTTTTTACTGTGTCCTCAAATTTAATGGATTAATGTGTCTTGTATATATAAAAAGAAAACCTCTACCTTCAGCCTCTGCCCATTCTTGCTCCGTCTAGGACGTCCTCAGTCTCGTCGATGACCAGCTTGGTGAATAAGTATTACCGTACCAACTGGGCCTCCTCTAGCAGGCCCCGAAGGCAGTGGAATAAAATGAAATCTTTGCCCTTTAAGAACTCCTCTGACCTTAATGTGCTAGTATCTTGCCCTTGAAGGAATTCCCTTCCCTATACCCCTAAGAACTTCACAACCTGCTCACTGGAAAGAAGCACCACAAATCTTCATTTCAACCAGAAACTGCTACATCTACAGATTTCCGTCAGGGAAGGGAGAGGGATAACAATTAGGTGGAAAGGGGGAAGGATTGAGGAAGAGCAGAGGCCTGTTCAAGTGAAAAAATGACTTCATGGAGTCTTAAGTATGACTTAGAGGGGTCCAGGCAAATATCCTGAGGAGATTAGAGTGCAACGTGACTGTGGGTTGGCAGAACTGAAGCGTGAGGCCAATTACTTCCAGTAGACTTGCTTGAGTACTTAGATGTAGCACAGCCGAGCTCAGTGCTTTGAAAAGGAATCCAGAGCAAGACTTGGGGCGGGGTACGGGAAGGGGGAGGCTCTGAAAGCCAGTAACATGTAAAAGGAGTACTTTTATAGTCTCAAATTAATAGTGCCCGCTGGGGACTCTTCTAGCTTACTCCCTCTCCTGCTCTTAGAAATCTTTATCTTGCGGATTGCAGAGCCCGCTTAGGAAAATTAAGAGACTCCTTATAAGGCTCCCTAGTAGCTGGAGACTTGGAGAATGTTAAGTCTATGCAACCCGTGTCTTTATTCAACGCTGAACGGGTCCACATTAGGAGCTTGGTAAAACGTTCTGCCCAACCGGTTAAAATAGCAGAGGTCCTCCGGGTCATTCTAGAAACAGACGCGGCAGTGGAAGGGGCCAGGTGGCTTCCGCTTTAGGCTGGCGATCCCCGGGCGCGGTGAGCCGCGAGCCGCCCCAGGCAGGTCAGTTTGCGCAGCTGGGCTGCCCTCTGCTGGCACTGCCCGGGTACGAACCAGATTCAAACCCTCGGAACACATTGGGCCGGGTTAGTTGACGGGAGAGTCGATTTGGGAGGAAGGTAATAGAAAGCAAGAATTCCACACGCTCACTCCCAAAGGCAGAAGGCTCTGCAAACCTGGGTAATGACGCCTTCCCAACGCGAAGACCGCCGTCCCGCCTCCGCTTCCACGTCGGGCGTACGGTCGTTTTACGACAGTTTATCCGAGCCGCAGGCTTGCTTTCCGGCAGCGTGGACAGAAGCTTCGCTCGATTTCCGACATCGTGGGCAGATTGCCCCCTTGCCACGGGAGGGGTTTAAAAGTTCGAATGTCAGTGCCGGAATGAGTCTCTTTGACCTCTTCCGGGGCTTTTTCGGCTTTTCTGGAGCTCGGAGGTGAGAGTAGGTTCGGGTCGGACAAGGGAAGAGGAGTCCTGGGGAGGAGCGTGACCCCTTAGACTCTTATGTTTTGAAAAACATCCTCCTTCCCGGTTCCTCCTGTGGAGAGGACAGAGGTCGCCACATTGAGCACTCGC